GCAACCGCCGCCGACGGCCCAAAATTTGCGCCCCCAAACCCCCTTATACGTATTGTACTTTGGAAAACGACGGTTTTGTTCGTGCGATTTTTTTATTTTCAAAATTTTATCACCGTTTGCGTATAATGATTGTATCATTTATATTGTACGCGCGTTTATATCGCTGCAGCACATTGTATCGACGAGGGTTGATTTTTCGCGGGGGTACCAAAGTCGTCACCGCACGAGGCCATGGCGTAGGGGGAAACGGCCATTACGCGCCAACACCTGCCACCCCCGACTTCTATGCGTACATTATTATGTATACACGATCGCCTATAATACTATAATAATAGTCGAACGCTAGTTCAATCGTCGGCTATTATATGATATTATATATAAAGGGAGGAAAACCAAAATTTGCGGTTTTTTTTTCGCAGTGCCAGTGGTTACAGTCTCTGCAGGAATACGATTTTTGATCTCGCCGTTCACTGCAAAAAAGCAGAGCGTACGGGCCCGGATTAGGGCGGCGAGCTACACCGAGAAAATTTCGTTGGACCAGTCATGAGTGTTTGGCCGAAATTTTATTTTATATGATGATGAGAAATTATTACAATACGAACGCTAGTATAGAAGATATGATTGAATTCGAATTATGAAACCTTACTGGTAATACTACAGTTATATGTTAGTAGCAATCTGTAAGTTGTAGTCGAACCGTTTGAAGACCTGCTGGGCGTTTGCTCGAGGCTTACAAAAATCGTTCTTGTCGGCAGATAGCCTCCAAGGGGGTGAGATTTGCGACAAGTTTTGAAATTTTCACGGTATTTTTTATCCCTAATTTCATTTTTGTATTGTATAGTATACATGTCGGTTTTAAAGGAGCGCATATTATGTCCGCGTAAACTCATCAAGTACTATCTGTCCTGTTTATGTAAATACAGTAAGCGAACTAAAACCGACACCAATTATTACGGATTATCATATATTATACAATATATTATAATCACGAATTAATAAAATTAATATTATGGGTGCGTTTATTTATTATAATAGGTACATGATGGGCACTTCTGTATATAGTTTAATGTTATAATATTTATAATTTACGCACTTAATTGTGCTATGTTATATTATAGTTTCTTCATTATAACACGTTACGCAACGTCGACGGTCGTATATATTATTATTATTATTATAATTTATAATGGTATAGTAATTATGGCGGATATCGTCTGCGGCTGGTAATAAGAAAAAAATAAACCGGCGCTGACGTTCAAATTATCGTCCTGTACTTATGTCCTATAATATAATATTATTATGTTTATACGCCATAATATTATCATATAATATGTGCTGCAGACTATATACATTACGACAGCGGTCGAGGGTCCCATCGCATACATTCCTTCACGAGGACTTGATTCGGACAACTTATATGCGGACATATGCTTATAATATATATTATATTATATATTTTCCACTTGGCGTTTTCCTGCGCTGTACACAATCACTGCAGGCAGGGGGGGGAGGGTGACGATATACATAAACTGTTTCGATATTCGTTTAACCTCGAGTAATTCGGCGGAGTTTTCTACGATTCGACCTTTGTACGTGCACGCGTTACAGTAAAAATATTATTATGATAATTTGTCGAGACGGCTTAGACATAATATACGATTGTTACCTATGTTTAACGATGTATGCGCGTGTAAAAGGTAAAAACCAAATTATTGTATACTCTTTTTCACGAGAGAAAGGTAGCGGCGGCCGACCAAAACGGGTCCGCCGCCGCGCATCCCCCACCAACTATCAGTGGTAAGCGTGATCACGTGGTCGTTCACGCACCAATCGAATCATTTTACATGCGCGAAACGGTACCGTTCTCTCGTGAAATAGAGTATACATAATTTAGTCACGCCGAGGAGGTGATAGTAGACCAATATAAGTGTGTCACTGGTGGTAATCGGGGGAATCGTTTTCCGTATACACGCATATAAAATGTAAACACATTCTGGTGAGGGGACCTCGAAACCTCGGCGACGACGACGACGACGTTTGACACGAAAAGGCGTCTTATATTACACCATTATAAGAGGGAAGGGCGGCCGCGGGCGATCATCTCGCACTTTATTTACGAGGGATCCCTATAATGTGTATATAAAAAAAAAGCCCCTACTTGCAAGTCCAGTGATTATATATCGCTATATTATATAATAATGCGTACGACCCGAGATTTTGATCATCTCGGCCCGCTTACGCAATATTATTATTACTATGGTATTTGGCCGTGGCCCGTGCTGCAGGGTGAGCTGCAGAGTTTTGCATGTCGCTATACGACGATGAGGATGACCAATTAATAAATCGTATATTTATAAATAGTAGTATTATGTGATACACATTTACGACCCTCTGACGCCATCACGGGTACACATTATTATATAATAATTTCCATCTGAATTTCGCATGTATTCGCATTTCTGTGTTTATTAAGACACATACGCTAAGAAAATCGGTCGGCGAGTGAAATAGGGGGGTCGCTGATTATTTTAGTGTTATTATACCAGAGACGGTGAGGTCTGAAGACAGTGTTTTTTTCACTCGAACTTGCAGCAGTTTATTTTCAACCAAAACCGCGGTATACTAGTATTGGCATGTTCGTCAAAATATTATTATACTATAGTCTATAGCTGCATTGGCTGGTGAGACACTTCAAGCAGTATTGTAGGCAGCAATGTTACATATTATACGAGTATAGATGGGACACGAGAATCATGTGTCTAATACTTTACTCCTAAAAATTATTTTTGGTCGAGAAATTGTGGTGTGAGCAAATATTTGTATGAGTACCAAATCACCATATACTATTGTGTTTCATCGAATCAACTTCTTCGTTTGCTCTTGTTAGTTGTTAGTATATAGGCCGATAAGGCTGAAAACTCGAGATATAACGTATTATTATACTCAGTCCTTAAAACGTATTTCGCGAAATTTTCGATACAGTTTTGTTGGCGTGGAAATCGTGATTGTAAGTTGTAACAAAACGAGCAATTAAGAGATTGAAATTACATAGCAATATTATATGGTTTCCGCACCAAGTCCTACCGACGCTTTATATAGGTAACCTACCTACCTAGCAAATAATCAGACCATTTTTTAGTGTGAAGTTTGTTGAGATCTGGTAATAATTATCTACTGATAATCGTTTTTTTCGAATGTTACGGTCCAACACTGATGTCGAAATGGAATTTTATTTTTAACAAGTAGTACTCGAATTTATACATGTATATTATATATTATGCATACCTACCTACCAGTTTTACAATATTAGTATTTAGTAGTCCATACAGTATTTTTTACTTTTGACCTACTCTATATAATATTATGATATCTCGAACTTGTTTCGCTTGAACGTGTTATTGAATAATAATAGAATATATTTGAACGTAGGCCGGTAATAATTATTTTATACATAATCCATCTGTCGGTAATAAAATATGTTGGTGCATACTATTATTCACGTACAATTCGATGCATAATATATTAATATAGTTTAATGTACAGAACATTGCGGGAGTGTTATAAAAGAAATGCTTTAACAATTAAACCGCCGTTAGTGGTTTTTTTTACGCCAATAGCTAATGTGTTATACAGTCCCATTGTTTGTTTCGAAGTAGGGTTGTTTTTCAAATTATATTTTAACCGCAACAATATTTTTATCGGTGTTCAAATCGAGTTTTAACTACCCGCGTGCGACCTCGGTGGTATGCTATTGACTCTAAATTAACATTATTTTATTATTCGGATTATTATAATATTATGTTTTATGTCCAGACTCCCAGCGTGATTTATTCCACGTCCAAACAGAATATACACAGAGTTAGATTTTTATAAATACCAAAATTAATTATAAACGGTTTGAGATTATATTTTTTTCTCCACTAAACAACTTTTTAAGTAGGTAAATTCTTTAATAATAAATTTGATTTTTAATTTTATGAGCAAATATTTTCCTAAATGCATGAGTGCACAACATGTCTATTACCAAGAATAATTGATTTATATTATCGTATTTATGTATGTTTAATGTTTATGAGACGAAAGTGTTCAAGATAAATTGTATATAAATTGATTTTTAAATATCTGATGTTTAACACAAACAAATGCTAATCTTGAATCCACGATTTCGTGGTTAATTAAAACTTAATTCAATCATCGAAAATTCAACATTTGATTGTCAGATAAATTTACTATCAATAATATATTATTGCTTTTAATTATACGTAACATATTTTATAATAATAATATTTTTGTCACAACACTTTAAAATTGAACTGTATAAAAAGAGCAATTATGGAAATGTTTAATTGTTTTATAATATTGTATTAGATTTAAAACGAAAAGAATATATATTTAATTTTGTACACATATTATATATCTATGAGATGATTTATGTGAGGAATCATAAACAGGTTCTGTCAAGTAGATATTTAACCAAAATTTACCCTATTTATTCAAATTATATAATCCCACACATAGCGAGCACATATGATTCAAAATAATATTTTACGATTAGAATTTTAGGAAATAGGTAGGTTTTGACTATGCGTAAATTTAAAATTGCCAATATCTATATTATTCATAGGTAATTTTAAATGTCGAATAATAAATATTATATAGGTCAGCGATTATCGTTTTTACAATATCGCTAATTTTAAACACGAAATAAAAACGCACTTTACCTACACCTTTTATACGTACATAATATTTTGTCTATATTCCGATTATCACAATACTCTAACGAAATCCTATGATACTGCACTACATAGGTGTATACTATATGACTTTTACTATCGAAACAATATCGTCATTATAGTCATATTTGACACACGGTATATTGTGTTCTACCTATACAATATAATATCAAATATGTACCTACACATATTATGTATATTAAAATCAGGTAACTAAACCGGTATATGGGTATAATTGGTTATTAAATATATATGGGGTGTACTCACTCTGTCCGAGGTGAACTCTCTTCATCCACGGGTAGATCTGCGGTGGGTTTTGGCCGGAGCCCTGTTTGCCGCCCGAAGACGCTGGTCCGTTGCCGTTTCCGCCGCCGTTGGACGACGTGGACGATATGGACGATGCGGGCGACGAGGACGTCTGTGAGACGGGGCCCTGTGTGGCGGGCGAGGAACCGGCCACCGGGCCGCCGGAGGACCGGACAGACTTCATGACGACGGCGGGCGGTGGTGACCGGGACCCGGGTGGCGGTGCCGCGGACGTGGTTAGGTCTTGCGGCGAGCTGATGCCGTTTGGCGTGGCCGACGCCGAGGCGGTCACTTCGTACTTGCACTGGACGACGCCGCCGGCCGCGGACGGCATGCCGACGACGTTGTTGTTGAGCGCGGACGATATGGGCGATATGGCGCCACCGCCCCCGGGCGACGGTAAACCGCCGACGCCGCCGCCGCCACCGTGGTGCTGCAAGTGCTGCAGGTGGGCGCCAGCGGCCGCAGCAGCCGCGGCCGCCTGCAGCCTCTGGTGCTGCTGGTGCTGTTGGTGCTGTTGCTGGTGGTTGACCGAGTGCAGTTGCGTGTAGTCGATCATGGACGGCGACGACTGTTGCATGTACTGCGATGCGTACTGTTGCGGCGAGTAGCAGCCGGCGGCCGGGCCTGCGTTGTACACTCCGCCGCCGCCGCCACCGCCTTGGGCAGCCTGTCCGTAGTAGTCGGCAGCAGAGGCCGAAGCGGCACCGCCTCCGCCCGGACTGTTGCCCGTCTGTAGAGGGTCGACCGGCGATGTGACCGCTCGGCCCTGTTGCTGTTGGGCCTGCTGGCTCTGCTGGTAGCAGTTCATGAACTGATACGAACTCATGTTCATCTAAACGGTTCGGATCGCGCGCGCGCGCTTCGATGCACGCCTCGATGCGACGTTTACCTTCGACGACCGGTCACTGTGCCCGTCTGTTATATACAAAGCTCACCGGAAGGCCGACGAACCGTGCTTGGAGTATATATAAATATATATCATATATTTACGGGCAGTGGTGTGCAAATATTATGTTTGACAATGGTCCGTCGTCAGGTCTCCAACATACCATTCGAAAACCGCGTCATAATGTCTGCAGCACCGATGGAAAAATTAACCGGAAAAAACCCGAAATTGAACGCACTCGAAAACAAAAATCAAAAAAAAAAAAAATTTAAATAGTCTCGGAATACCTACGCAAATAGTATATTATATTATAATTATAATAATATAATAAAATAAATAATACGCCGAACGTCGAAAAATCACCAAGCGCGTCGCGGCCGAATAATAATATTAAATTACGATAATAATACGACAACAATAATGTTAATGTACCGTCGTACGTGTCCGTCGGACGGGGCTGGGGGCCACGTGCTAGTGTAATTTACGACTGCGGCGGCGATCCGCGTTCGGAGGCGAGTGGAACAGTACAGCGGACCGACTCGGAGGACCGAACACACTCCGAAACCCGACAACTTCCGACGCGGCTGGAGACGTGCGCGCGCTGTGCCCGTGTGTGCGTGTGCGTGCGTTTGTGTGCGCGTGTTCGCGCTCGTGTGTACGCGTGTACGTGTGCTTGTGTGTGCCTGTGCGTGTGTGTGCGCGCCTGTGTGTGAGCGCGCGTATCCGTACGAACGTAACCGCGGCCGTCGACCAATCGGGACGCCGGACGATCGGCGCTCGGATCTGGCAGTCCCTCGTGTGCCGCCGCCGCCGCCGTCGACGGAGGCGGTGGCGGCGGCAGCAACGACGACGACGCATGAATGAACCGGTGTGCGCGGCGCCGTCGGTGGCGGTGGGGGCGGGGGAACGTGACCGCCGCCGCCGCCTTCGGACTACCTATTTCGTCGCGGACGTCGTTGTTTCGTACGCCGCACGCAGCCGTGTCCGAGTTGTTGCCGGCGACCGTCCGGCCAAGGCGCTCGCGTATACACTGTTTTATGTTATTATTATTATTATTATTATTTTCGTTTTTACTATTATTATTATTTTTTTTATATAATTATTATTATAATTAATATTATTATTTTTATTCTTTCAACTATACGAGCGGAAAACAATAATATATTTTCTAATAAATTACCTATATAATGTAATAATGCGAATTATTTCATTGCATGTCGTTTTCGCAATGTAGTCTGAAAACTGCCGACTACGACCTACACCTTAGAGATGAAGTACATTTATTTCTTTTGACACAGATATAAAATAAATAGTTCATGTCTTAACTTTGTGAAAATGCGATTGCTCTCAATATAATTATGAAACAGTAATAATAACCAAATAATAATGCTAAATAATGTATATCAACTTAATATCATTTACAACGATTCTATGGATTATAATATTATTATTTCCCGATACGTGTTGGTAAATTAATTTATTTTAATATTGTTTCAAAATAACTTTGATTTTGGTTTTCTCACATATTTCAATAGGTTTATGGTGTATATTATATTATTATCCATTTCCCATAATATAGGTAATAGTAGTATATTTTATTAATGGAATTCGTAATCTTATCATGTTTATTACCGTGTTTTGTTGGGATGCCTTCAATTATTATAATAGTACAACGATTAATATGTATTGTTGAATATTTGAAATAAACATTTATTTCGTTAGCTGATGATATTAGGTATTGTATTTCGAATGGTACGGTTAAGGTTTAATAACGAAATTATTTTTGACGTTATTTGTAAGTACTCGCGTCTCACGTTGTGAACTTATGCTAAATTTTGCTATATTTTCTTAACGAGAATAACTAATAATGGCTCCTACCGAATAATACTGTTAACCTCAGATGTATAAGACGTTTGGAAATTTCGAGTAGATTGATTGATTTTGTAACAAAAATACTATAATTCTATAATGTACCAAATACTGGAAATTAGTAATTATAATTAAATTGTTTGTAGGAATCCCCGGTCCCTTATACAAAGGTGGGCATTAACCTGTTAAAAAATTCATTTTTTTAACTTTTTAACTTAACTAGTTAATTATTTTTGTTTTTAACTTATTAACTTATAAAGTTAAAATTTGCATTGCTGTAGCTTAACTTTGTATAGTTAGGTAATTATTATTGTCATCCTGTTAAGTTAATTTTCTTTTCATGTCATGCAGAACCAACTAGACAATACAGATTCGTTGACACTTTTTCGATTTTAGTCATTTATTTTCTAATTATAATATAAGTTAAAAGTCTTGGGAAATGTTTGGGTAAATCAAATACTAGGGCAGTTTATGACATACAAATATCGTAGTATTAAAAAAAACTAACTTTCTTTTTAACTAAGTTAAGTTAATTTTAGTTTCTATTTTATCCTTTAACATTTAACTGAAGGCAATTTAATTTAATTTACTTAGTTTGCCACAGTTAATTACTTTTATGAACTTGCCCACCTTTGCCCTTCACCATATAAATATATTTAAAAAAAAACTTGAAGCTCACATCTTCAGTTTAACGTATTTCTATGTGCCCTGAAGTGATTGAGTAGGTCACTTTAAAGGATTAGTTAAACTTGAATTCAATGATAAATCATTGTGTATACATGAACAAAAAATATAAAAAATGATACACCCATCTCTGGGAAGTTTGTGGATTACTTCTGGATTAGCATTTATTTCTAAGGGTATAGTTTATGTTATATTATTTATATTATTATTAGTATCATATTAATTTGGTATGTTAAATTAATATGTTCCAATAAAATTGCATATGATTCACTCAGTATCAACATAAATAGTCAATGGTATGAATAATTTTTTAGTACCTATAAATATGTTGAAAATAGTCTAAATATTTTGAAAACGTAATCAGTCACATAAATATAAGATATGTAAATGGTAATAATGTTATATGCATGTAATGTCCAGAAGTACCTAATGTTTCAAGTCTCCACGGTTAATATTTTTTGAATTATATCAAATTGACTGAAATCATTAGAGGAAAAATAGTTATTTTTCGATTAAATATTAATTTTCTTCAAAATTCGAAGATCTAATATTTATAAAATAAAGGTTTGAGGATGTACCTACATTTGATAGTTTACCTATATCACTATTGTCAACTAAACGTATGCGGAATCTTATAAATATTTCAAGTCTCTACGGTGGTTATTATTTATTGACCGAAATTGATTTTGTGAATATTGGTGATGTGTTATTAGATTTTCTCAATTATTAATAATGGTTATTTTCGTATTTTCTACTTCCTAAATTTATTTATTACCAACAAGATCTACAATTTTCTATCAGAAATCACACTCAATTTATTATGTTTATGTAAGATTAAATCGAATCTGCTCTAAAATGTGATGTAGACACAAAAAAAAAAAAAAACTCACTTTATTGTAAAACTAATGAATTCCTTGTGCCGCACAGGTGTTAGTACTTGATAATATAATTTTAATTGAGAATCATTGTTGCTTGTAAATGATAGATTTCATGTCACAACACTGTATACATAATTATTATTTTATTATTAATTTATAACAAGTAGTTATTACAACTACTTAATTATAATTCGTTTTAGTATTATTTGGTAATCGGTATTTACGATTAAAAATGTACATTATTTTTATTACGGTTGTAACACTTTTAAAATTAAATAATTAAATTGTATTAAAGAATAAAAATAATAATTATTGTGTTTGTGTATATAATATACTTGTATAGGTTTGTGATGATTTAATTAATCAAATTATTTTATTTCTTATAACTATAAAAACCCTCTGTGGCATTGGTTATATAGGCTCATGTACCTAACTTATATATATATTTATAAATGGATGATCAATAATTATATGTGATTAGTTAGCTAATAGTCATTACAAGTAATTATAGTATTTATTACATATATATATATATATGTATGTCTAAAGGAGTTACCTTAAAGTAAGAGATTTACAATTTTATGAAAAATTATATAATAAATGAAGAGAAATAAAAATGATTTTATTGTTATTACCTAAGTACATATATGATCAAATATATTATAAACAATTTTTTTTTGTATGTGGCAATACCATACCAGATAGAGGGACGGCAAATGTCAACCCGTTGGATATTGTATAAGATATTAAGATATAACTTATATATAGTATATATATATATAATATAAATGTACCTATAATTAATGACATAATATATAATTATTCATTTCTAAATAAGTTAAATAGAGTTGTTTTTCTGCATTATTAATTACGTCCAATATATATTTTCGTTTATTTTTACTGTTCAAATGATAAAATAATAATTAAGATAGGGGAACGGAGTGGTCGAGTAGACTAAGGGCACCGACGCCGGCTCAAAACCTCGGCCGCGGGCAGCATTTTTCTTCGGGCAAGTCAATGTGTCCGGAGAGAAGTTCCGCCATCCCCCGCCCGGGCATGGCAGATAGCTACCGGTTCCCCACTAAAAAAATCTGCCAAAACTAATAAACACAAGTGTTTAAAACCTAAAGTACCCTCCCCCACAGTTAAAAACCATCAAATGGCCTAAGTTTAATTAATAAAATAAATAAATAAACAATTAAGATAATATTGTTGTACATCAACTCTATCTTCCAGAAAAAAAAAACAATTATTTAGTTAAGTACCTATATACAATTTATATACAGATATCAATATTATAATATTTTTTATACACCTATTTAAATGTTGATGACGATATGGTCAATCGACTCATCTTATCTTATCTTAAAATGCGAAAGCGTAACTTAATTATTTGATAGAAAACACATCGAAAACTTACAATTAATCAAACATGAAGTATTAAATGACGAACTATTTTTCAACCCGAGATACGCCATTACGCAGTTATCAAAAATCCGTTCTTACTAA